CATCCCCTCTGCACTTCAGTCCTCCTCTGCTGGACTGAGAGCTCAAGGACATGGAGCCTGCACCTGGCTTGTTTACGTCCACGTCCTTGCATACAATATGGGCTCTAGGCCTAAAGAGGGGCTTTAGTGTACTTGTTTGCTTGGATGAACAAATGAGGGAGTGAGCAAATGAAGAAGGGAATTCAGCTCCATCTGCACACAGACATTTCTCTTCCAGACCCATGGCCTAAACCTAAACTTCAGAAAGTTTATGATTAGCCATGCTTCAGACAGTGAGAGGACTCTGAAGAAATTGACAGAGGAAACTGGAAAGGGTAATGTGGCTTTAACCCACTGTCATATCTTTTCATATATCATCCATATATGTATTCAAAGTGATCTTCTTCCTAAAGGATGGAAGCTGAATTAACTGAAGGAAAAGTGTACTGGAATCACAGATGGAAATAACTGGTCAAAGCAAAGGAAATGATGTGAAAGTTTGTGCAGAAGGGGATTTAGAGAGAATGTGAGGGAAAGAATTGGTGGCCCCTTGAGAAGGGCTCTCATCCAACACCGGGGCTGTTGGTGACAGAGCAACATTTTCTACCACCGCATTTACTGTTTTGACAATACCCAGGTGTTTTTGCTTTATTCATAGATTAGACTCAACTTTTTGGCTTCAACATAGAAAGTACTTTTTCTCTTAAAAGCAACTATGGGGACTTCCTTGGTGGTCCAGTGGTTAGGGCTCTGTGCTTTTACTGCAGGTTCAATCCCTGGTCGAGGAGCTAAGATCTCACAAGCCGTGTGGTGTGACCAAAAAAAAAAAAAAAAAAAAAACTATGGCAAAAAACAGTACAGGATACTTTTGAGGAACTGTAGCTTTTAGGAGAAACCAGGGTGTGGGAAAATGAGGAACTACATAGGAACCAGAACAACAGTGGTCTCCTCTACCCTCAACACACTCACACTCACATTCATAAATAGACAAACATGTAGATGCTCTCATTCACACCCACCCCTCACACTCACAGACCCACACATATTCACCCACACTCACACCCACATACACCCCACACACCCATCTGCCACACACTCATGCCTTTACACTCACTCACTGCAATGGTGATTCACACATTGGAATTTCACACCTCATCTGATGGTGTCAAGAGGTGGGGCCTCTGTGAGTTGATTAGGTCATAAGGGTGGAGCACCCATGGATGGGATCAGCACTCTCTAAGACCCCAGACAGCTGTCTAGCCCCTTCCATCATGTCACCATGTGAGGACACAAGAGAAGTCTGAGACCCAGAAGAGTGGTTTAGCCCTTACCTAACCATGCTGGCAGCCAGATCTCAGACTTCCAGCGTCCAGAAGTGTGAGAAATTGATCTCTGCTATTTACAAGCCCCCAAACTATGGCATTTTATTAGATGTGACTAAGACACTCACATACAAGCACAGCATAAATGCCTGCACACTCACACACGTACTCATATTTACACACCCACACAATCAGATCCCTCCCACGAATACAAAATTCACATGCATTCATACACATGTGCACTCATACACACACAACACACACACATACACACCACTCCAGACACTCACACATCCTCACCACGGACCTGTCTCCCCTCCCTCCAGCCACCACCCCCCCGCCCCCAGCCTCTGCATACACCTGGGCTGTACCCATTCAGCATTAAGTTGTTCTCCTCTAGTGTAAACACACTAGAGAAATGAAAGGTCAGCTCTCGTTTCCCCAGCTGCAAGAGAAACGTGCTCTCTCTGTGTTCACAGGCTGATGGGGTTTTACTTGGGGCTTCCTTTGGTGCTGAAGCCCTGAATTCCCCTCTGCAGTGGCGGGGTGTCCCTTTCACTGGGTTTCCCAGTATTGATCAAAGTTAGAAAAGAAAAATCACCCATCACACGCATGTCTTCACTTCCCTTCCCCAGTGAGGTCTGACTGGGCCCCACCACAAAGCACCTGATCTGGCTGCAGGCTGCTCTGAGGTTTTGATGAGTTCCTCATGTCACAGCACTGCCCCATCAGCTCCCAGTCCTGCCTGAGGGCGGCAAGAGGAATCCCCAGTCGGAGGAATGGGAGAGGGGTGGTTCCAAACAGAAGGGCAGTATTCCACCCAGGAAGGGCTCCCAGCAGCAGGCACCACATTACAGAAATCCTTGTGGGAAATCGCTTTCCCTCCCCAGACTGCAGTTTCCATGTTTGTAAAATGATTGCTGGAAATGCATGCTGCTTAAATGCCCTCTGGCTCTAGAGGTCTGGGATTTGTGATTCTGGGGCCCAGAGCAGAACCACTCATCTCAGTAACTCTGGTCAGGGTTTAATTGCCACTTCCTGTGTAGGGCTGTTGAAGAAATCCAGGATTCAACAGAAAAGGACTAAGTCCTGTGTGTGCATGTGCTAAGCCACTTCAGTTGTGTCTGACTCTGTGTGACCCTATGGGCTGTAGCCTACTGGGCTCCTCTGTCCATGGAACTCTCCAGGCAAGAAAACTGGAATGGGTTGCCATTTCCTTCTCCAAGGGAATCTTCCCAACCCAGGGATCAGAACCCAAATCTCTTATGTCTCCTGCATTGGCAGGAGGGTTCTTTACCACTAGCGCCACCTGGGAAGGACTAGGGACTAGGTCCTGTAACAACCCTGGAAAACAGAAGGCTGGCTCCAACTCTCCTTTTTCAGGCTGAAGGTTTTGAAGGTGCCCTGTCATGATCACCATCTAGCACAAGGTTGTAGAAACTTCTAGTTTTTACATTTTTTGTTTCTTATTCAAATCTGTTCTGGTCCAAAAGATCCTTCTTGGGCCCACAATTTTGGCTCCACCAAAGAAAACCTTTTCTAACTTATAGACAAGAGATGCCATCAAGGTGGGCTGTCTCCAGAGCAGTTCTTCCTGTCCCAGAAGGTCCCAGCAGAGACATCTATCTGTCCTGGCTGAACTAGGAGCAATGTTCATGAGAGATAGGATGGACCAGAAGAGTTTTAAAGCCCTTTTGAATTTCAAGACTTCATTTTAGAACCTAAAGCTTTGTAAGAAACAGGGGCAAGATTAAGATGAGCAGCAGAGAGGAATCCACATATGGAAGTTTGCTAAACATTCAGTTCAGTTCAGTTCAGTCGCTCAGTTGTGTCCGACTCTTTGCGACCCCATAAATCGCAGCACGCCAGACCTCCCTGCCCATCACCAACTCCCAGAGTCTACCCAAACCCATGCCCATCGACCTGTTGGCTAACAAATCGTTATTTCGACTTTGCTCCGAGGCTGGTTTCAGGGTGCCTTGCTTACGCCTGTTCTAAATGCTCTTTGTGACAGAAAGAAACACAGGTCTAGCACTGGGTATGTTGCTTACACTCTTATGATAAAAATCATGTTGCAGTACCATCTAATTTTTCCTTGGCAGCCCCAGTGATTTTTCTGGGTTTGCACCTTCTCATTTACTTGTGCTTCCACCCCCCACCTTGAATTCTGCAGGTACTTTGATCATTACCCTCATTCTACCAAGAGAAACCCCAGAGTTGAGAGGAATGAAATGGGACCAGAACAGCATATTTTCAGATAACTGTAAAGAACATTTTTGGAGGCGGGATCTTTACGGGATGAAGAATTTGCATTTTAACCAGTTGCTTACTTGCGAAAATGAAAACCAACAGCCAGGAATTGAGCTAGGTTCTTTTATACTATTTACAAATTATGGTTGCTCTAAATGCCTTGCTTTAAGAATAATCTTGCTATTAAAAATTCATTTTTTCAGATAAATTTTAAGCTGCAGTTTTAGTTTCAAAGTGAAGAACTTGATTATGACTCACCAAGCTATTTACAGTAGTCTCCTTTTATACCAGAGATTTTATGTGTGAGAGAGAGAAAGGGAAAGAGGGAGAAAGAGCTCATTTCTTAAAATTGAAGAAGACTGTAATTATCAAAATCTATCATGCTAACCCCATCAGAGGACTTTATTACTCTGACTTCTGTTCATGCTTGTCAGCTGCATAATTCCCAAACTGTTTATTTACCCTTAACTGGAAGACATGTCGTAAAAAGGACATAGGTTTTGAGAAATAAAACCTCTTCCTATAAACATGCCAATCAGTAGCTCAATTCAAACAGTATATATATTTTAGGGGGCAAAATGAGTCATACTGTAGCAGAAAGAGCTCTGGATGGGGTTTCAGTCCCAGCCCTGCACTTAGTAGGTGGTTGACTTTGGGAAAAACCTCCTGTTTTGGACTCTCAGTTTTTTTCATGTGTTAATGGGGATACTATATGTATCTCTTAGGGTTTTTGTAAGGGTTAAGTGAAATGATAATGCCAGCTTTCAGCACTTTGTGAAACTTTTACATTCTGTCATAACATTAGGCCTCATTGTTTCCTGGAAGGTTGTTCTGTTTACCACTGTTTTACGACTATTCTTGAGGAAAGGCTGTTTTCTATTCCTATTCCTCTTATTTTCTACTATTATTAGTATTCCTGAGGTAGAGGAGCTTACTTTCCACCCGCTCACTTTTCAATGACCATAGAAAACATATTCCTAAATATCTATATCCACAGCTTTGCTCTCCCCTAAAATGAAAAAGTGAGGTGGTCACTGCTGGGCATACTGTATCTGTGGGGTGGGAGGAGAGGCAGAGAGGGAACAGAATCAGAAGAGAAGGTGTGGTGAATGGGGTCAGAGGGTGGCCACACTTCGGGAAGGGAAGAGACCTTGATCTGACTGGAAGTGGAAGAGGGAAAGATATGACTGTGTGGAGGCAGGAAGTCAAGAGTCCTCACCCTTGTGTTGGAAAAGTAAATGACATAGAGTCAACCATCATGAAGATCTGGCTGAGAAAATGAGTTCCAACACAGTCTCTGAAGCCTCATATCAAAGCAACCATAGAACAAGCTCTTCGGCCTTGAAACTTACCATTCAAATTATGTAATTCTCTTCATATGTCAATTATATCTCAACTAAAAAAACTAAATATATAGTTCTGAATTTTTAGTGGACACTGCAGACTTACCTTCCAGAAAAGAGAGATCTGTTGTCTATTGTAGTCAACGTGCTGCCTCACATACCAGGCATCGAGCATTCCGGTAGGCTCTGTTTTGAAGGGGAAAAAATCAGCTTCATATACATACACACATATACAAACACACAATGTAAAACCTTTCAAAGTCAATTGGTTATTGACTAAGTGATTCTTGGAGAGGAGAATTATAGGATAATTTCGATTTTCTTCATGTCCCAGTATTTTCCTTTTTCTTCTGTTAAATAATGAACATGCTTGACCACAGAAGTCAGAAAAAACAAAGTGCTGTAGTCCATGGGGTCACAAAGAGTCAGACATGACTGTGTGACTAAACAACCACCTTAAAAACAAACTTTTAAAAATGACAAGGGGACATTACATTCTTAACTTACTCTTAAACATGTATTAGTAAAACAACTCAAAGAAAGTATACACGGTTAATTCTTTTTTGTTGGAATGCATAAAGAATTCTCAACAGGAAAACAGACATAAATCATGAGGAAAACATTTTTCAATCCTGTAAAATACAAAACTCAAAGGCTGAGCTTTGTGTTCATCTCCATTCCTGAATTTATGTTGGAGTATAATTATTTGGTTTTATGACCATTAGACAATAATCTATTTGTAAGGAAGTCTGTCTCATTCATCTTAGTATTCCTCACATCCACTGCAGTGCTTAGAATGTAACAGGCTCCCAGTTACTCTTTGTTAAATGATGAATAAGCAAATGAACAAACCAGGGAATACCATCTACTTGATGCTGAAACACAGGCTGAACTAGTAGAAGAAATAACCACCAATCCATAAAACAATGGTCAAATATGAACTAATTTAATTTGAGAAAGTCAACTGAACATATTTTTTTTTTAAAGAAACTGAATAATCAACTCCTATGTCTAAGTGTGTGTATGTATGTATATTATGAGTGGATGAAATAGTTTTTTTTCTCCCACTATCAGATTTGTTTTGATTTACAGCCAGGGGTGGAATCAATAGAAGCAATCCCTGAAAACAGGCTTCAATTGCGCCAACCTAACTTGTGTAACAGTGACTCTGAGAGTATATTAGGGTGAAGCTATCTTGGGGTTCCTTCTGGAACAGCAAGTTACATTTAACCAGCTGGGAATTCCCAGAAAGCTAAGTCGCACCGGGATGGCAGAAGACAAGCTGCCAGGAAGAGGAGAAGAGAAAGAAGGACAGGGAGGGGGCACATGTCCCAGCACACACCAAGGGCAGGCCCCATGTGGGCCCATTCAGTGACATCTCATGTCCTCCTCAGCCCCGTGATACACTAGCTTTGGTGCAGTGCTTAAAGTGTGAGCTCCAGAGCCAGGCCCTCTATGGGCATATCCAGGCTCTGTGATCCCGAACAATGCTAACCATGTCCTTAAGCCAGGTTCCTCGTCTGTCAAATGAGGATCATAATTCTACACATCAGATGGGGCTGTGTTGAGAATTTAAACGGAACATAACAGTGCTTACACATGTTAAGCGCTCAGTAAACTTAGCTGCTGTTGTTTTCTTCACTTGAAAACTGAAGTTCAAAGAAGTTAAGGAACTTGATCAAAGTTCCAGAACTAATTGGTGGAGAAGCCAGGCTCTGAACACAGCTCTGTTTGGTCTATGATCTTTGCTCTGCATCATGCAGTTGCCTGGCTCTGCAAAGGCTTACAACGTCTCTGTAAAACTTACGCCCTCCATTGGGTGCGCCTCTTTCATGTTCTAGTCTTTTCCTTTGTTACTTCCTTTTCCTGCCTCTCTCACCTTCATCTCTTTTAATTTCTAAACATTCACTTCTTCCCCTTCTCTTCCGACCAGTGGTAGTATTCACCGTTGCAGCGAGGACTTAATGGTAAGAAATGTGTACAGAAGACATTCTGAAAGTGCTCTCTATCCTTCAGGATTACAGGGACCCAGGAATCAAACTCGGAACTTTTTTTCCTGCTAGTCCATATGTAAAAAGGAAAAAAGCACAGGCAACAGAAAGGAAGGGGGCCTGGTGTTTATTGACCACCTACCACGTGCCAAGTAATCTCTGGACACTATATCCATGCTCTCACTTAATCCTCACACAGTGCAGAAGGAGCATATGATTAGATCTGTTTTGCAGCTGAGGACAAGGAAGCTGACAAAGGTCAAATGATTTACAGAAACTGCAGAGATGGTAATGGCAAAGCTGAGAGTTGGGCCCAAGTTTTGCTGTCTCCAAAGACCCTGTTACTGTTCACCGTGTTGAGCAAAGATCTGAACACTCCACAAACTAGATGACCCAGACACTGACTACCCAGTCAGGATTTGGAAACTATGGTGTGCTCAGGGTCAAGGCCAGTGGACATGGTCCATGGTGTTACATGTCTTCAGTTAATTACATATAGGTAAGAAACTTAAAGGGAACACTCACCTCTCATTGCCATTCATTGCCTCTACAACCTACCAGATTATTACAGAGCTAAGAATCAAATTCAAGAGTCATATTTTCTTCAAAAGATAAACTGCAAGTGAAGCTGAAATTTTAACGGTGCCCACCTGCAGTGTAAGCCTCTATGGGAGAGAAATCATTAGCCAAATCTGTATGGGTTTCAAAGTGTAAAACTTCATGACTAGAAATGTCAAACTACTGCTGCGTAAAGCAATATAAGGGCTAATATTATAGAGAATCTTTGACATTCAACTGTCAAAGTCACTTGGGGGTCCTAACCTCAGTGTCATAAAAAAAAGTCAGATAAAAGTATCATAGGCAGGTAAGAAAAGGAAAGACAAAGGCCATTTGTCCCAAGTGACACACACAAAAAAGATGAGTACAAATGATAAAAAAAATATGAATATTGAGCAATGGAATAATTTCTTCTGAGATGAATGTACTATCAATGTGAAGAAAAAAACTGGGTTAAAGAGGAAGGAATCACCAATATAAAAAAAGAGGACATCCAAAATTAAGCAGAAGATCAGCCTAACTGCCCTCAAAGGATTCTTTCAACTCTGGTGGTGGCGGTTTAGTCGTTAAGTTGTGTCTGACTCTTGAGACTGCATGGACTGTAACCCACCAGGCTCCTCTGTCCATGGGATTCTCCAGGCAAGAATACTAGAATGGACTGCCATATCCTTCTCCAGGGGATCTTTCCCACCCAAGAATCAAACCCAGGTCTCCTGCATTGCAGGCAGATTCTTTACGGACTGAGTTACAAGAGAATCCCAAGATTTGAGGATTCTATGAAACAGGACGTGTGGTAAGTAAATCAGGGCTAAGCCATGTGCTGCTTCTGAGATTAGCATCCATCTCGGAACCCAAGGTGAGTGGAAGGGTGTGGATGAGAGCAACTGAATTGCAAGTAGACAGCAATCCCTCCACAGAGGTTTTAGCAGGCAGTGGAGTAGAGTAGAAAGATCTCTAAGAACAGTGAAAATGGAGAATTTAACACAAAGTGAATATGAAAAAGGAGTACCTTGGGAGATTTCAGGTAGTGGACTAAATTGAACCCATGAGAATATTTTGGTCCAAGCAATGCTCCAGGCAGGGAAAGACAGAGCCAAGTAAATCATCCACCACCTTGGTTCCTCAATGTCCACTCTTTGGACTGTGATACACTTCTCTAAATTCTAGTTTCAAACAACTCAAACAGATTCACAGATTCACAAACACCTACATGATTAAACAAGTTTCTTCATGGTAGACTCTTGCCTTCATATGTTACCACCTGCAACGTCTCCATGGGAAGCCCTCACAGACTCTGCCACCCCTCCTCCTCTTTGATAACTTTCAACACTTTGTTCACTCTCTCTTTTCACTCCTTTCTGTCACTATTTTTGGTGGCTCATCATCCACAGGGGTTGCTCCTTCCCAAAGGCTGGTGCTATAAATCCCTCTACCTGCTGACTTCCAATGATCTGATTCTCTCAACTCATGTCTTTGCCTCACACTTCACTGAGCAAAAGGAAGCAATCAGACAGAAAGTCCCTAATATTTCCACCATGAAATCTTTCAAACTTCCCCATCAATTCCCTAACACATCACTTCTATTGATTTTACTGTGGATGAAGCTTTCCCTACTTCCATCACAGACCAACCCCTTGAGTTCTAGGTCCCATCCTCTTGCTTCATCACATGTACCTCTCCCACTATTATCCTAGTTCCTGTATCATTAATCTCTTCCTCTCTGCTAGGTCCCAAAAATCTCCTTATAAATATACTGTATTATCTCTGATCCTAAAACAAATTAAAGAATTTCTTAACGCTACATCCTACTCCAGTGAATTGTCACTGTCTTTACTCCCTCACCTCATATTCACTCTCATTCAATGCCCCCAAAACTGCTCCTGTTCAGAAATCAATGCTGCTTTGTCAAATCTGATGATTACTTCTCTATTCTCCTTTCACTGGATTTATTGGGAACACCTGACATAGCTGAAAATCCACCATCTATTTTTTTTCTTTTTAAGAAAGATAATCTTTCAACATCCAGATCACAAGTGAAGAGCCTATTTCTTAACAGAAGCAGGGAGGTTTCCTCTATCCTAAAATCAATGGAGGCATCATGTTAGAGTGCTCATGGGGAAAAAAAATGAGTTGCAAAAGATTATATACTGCATATAATTTTGATCAAGCTCAAAACAAGCAACACTAATCACTGTTTAGAAATATATACATTTCTGAAAACTATGAGAAAAGTGTGATGATGACATAAATACACAATCCAGGACAGTGGCTACCTGTGGGGAAGTCTGACAGGGTAAGAATACATCAGTAATTTTACAACATTTAACTTAAATGATGAGTTTGTAAGTGTTCAGTTGCTGTTATGCTTTGTAATGAGAAAGTAGCTTAAATTAGGATAGTCAGAGTAGCAATGGAAGCAATGAATACATTTTGAATATGTTTAGGAAACTCAATGCAGATATGATGGAATGGGAGAAAAGGAGACTTTAAGGATAATTTCTCCACTTTTTGATTTGAATAACTAGGAATATGGTGGAGTCATTTACCATGAAAGGAAAGACTGAAACAGAGACATTCTGAAAGCATTTTGCATTGGAGAAAAAACAATCTTTTTAGGCAATGTTGAGGTTTAGTGTATCTGTTGATATCTAAGTGAAGATGTAGAATAGGTGACTGGAATACAAATCTGAAGTTCTGGAGAGACTCCAGAACAGAAACTATATTCTTTCTTTCTCTTTACCTACCTATGTAGTTTTAGAGCCATGAGATTGAATGAGGTCAGCTGGGAAAAGAAAGAGACCCAATACAAAGCCCTATATATTGAGATTAAGAAGAGAAAGATAGCCAGCAAAAAAGACTGGGAAGAACTGGCCAAGAGGGTAGAAGAAAAATCAGGAACAAGAGATTTCACAGAACTCAACAGAAGCAAGTACTTCCAGGAGGTAATAGCTCTTTCCTTCTACTGCAGTACCTTGGAGACCACATGCTCCAGATGGTAGAAGGCCACAAGATTCCCTTTGGGCTTTGCAGCTTGTTCTTGGTGCCATCTCTTCCAGGAATTTTCCCTGATGTTCCAAGATAGACTGTAAGTCCCTGAATCTGAGGATCTAACTGGTTATCATTGTGTCTGAGTACCTGGCATAGTGCCTGACATATACACATTCCTCACAGATCATCCAGAGAAGTGTTTTTTACTCCCCACTGGCTTCTTTTGGAGGGTTTCATGGAAAGCATTTCTTCCCATTGGAATGATTACCATCTTGTCAAATAATTAAGCTTAGGCATTTACTTCTTCCAGGGTAGGTGTTGAGCTTAGAAGAGGCCACAAGAAGAATAAAAGAGGGTAAGGACACTCATTGGATCTTAAACATAACATTTTCCCTCTCATGAAAGTGTTTTTAGCTAAGTCCCTTGAGAAGGCAAAGAACCATTCATTCTCATTTCCTCAAGTCTTAGGCAAAAAGACACAAGCATGATATTTTCAAGTTTAGCTAATTTAGGAATCAGCAAACTATGGCCCATGGACCAAATCTGACTGGTTCCCTATTCCCTGTTTCTGTATAGCCAGTGAACTAATAATAATAGCTTTCACATTTTTAGATGGTTGACAACCAATCAAAAGAAGGATCCTTTTTAGTGACATAAAAACTTTACAAAATTCAAATTTCAGTGTGCAAAAATAAAATTTTGGATACAGCTCTGTCTATGTATTTCTAGACTGTCAATGGCTGCTTGCATGTGATAACAGCAAATTTTAATAGTTATGACAAAGATCATAGGTCTGCAAAGCTGAAAATATTTATTATTTCAGCCTTGGAACTTTATAGAAAATATTTGCTGACTCCTAAGCTAGACTTACCATCTTGCTTGCTAACAGGTGGTAAAATAACCTCTAGTATTTAATTGTTCACACCTAACCTATCCTAGCAATTGTTTAAAATCACACGTGAATGAACAATTGTCTAGCTTCTCAATGGGAAGATGGGTGGCTGCAGCTATGTGTTTTCCCTCTTTGGGGATCTTTCACCAATTACCTACACCATCACCATGATGGGGGAGGACTGCTCCTTCACTGCTCTGGCACTAGTGGGAGCGTTTAACACTTCCTTTATTAACTGCCCACAGTCAAGTTTACCAAGACCAAAGGTACAAATAACACTTTGAAAAATGATGAAGAATGAATAGCTAGAAACACTTAATGTAGCTCTAAGGAATGGTTAATTCACCTTTATTTTGGAGTTTCCTCCTGGGTGTTCAAAATGATGAGGAAGCAGGGTACCCCAACACCTGGGCATTTTCTCAGGCATGTGAAGACACTATGCAACCCAAACTCAAGACCGTTTTCCCACTAGAAGCAAAATATGACTGCTCAGAAGCAAAATATGACTGCTCATTTCCCAGTATCAGGCCCACATTTGATGTATACTGATTGCTGGACTGTCTTCCTAAGCATAGGAATGTGATCTGTTTCCTTCCACCCCTTACTTAGTGGTCATTTTTAAAATGTTCTTCATGGAGGACTGTGACAAGAGTTTAATTTAATGACATGGAGAAGGGCCATATGGAGTGAATAATGCCTTCATTCTCTGCTGACATGCTATAAATAACTATACCCAAACCACTAAGAGATAACATATTGTGCTGTTTTGAGTAGCCAAGGCTACAAAGAAAGAGCTCTATCATAATAACATTGTTCAGTTTTAGACAGTAACTAAAAAAAAAAAAGCTTACTAGTATTTTTTTTTAAATGCTAAGTTACATTTGCATACATATCCCAAGGGTTAAAAGGAAGAAGTGTTAAAAAAAATTTCACACCTTTTAGGTTTACATCAGTTGGTGTTTCATACAGAAACTGATGACAGAAAGAGTGGTAAGAGGTGAAAACCATGAAGCTTAGAGTAAGAGAAAAGAGATCTTACAACAACCCACAGAAAGATCAAACACAAAAAAGGGAGATTCAGACAGAGAGGAAGTCAGCAGAGCTTGGTCAATGTGGCATATTTCAGAGTATGGGTTTCTCTCTTTGTGAATGTTTGCAACTACTCTGAATAAGCCAGCTTCCTTGGTTCAATTCATAACCATCCACGAGTTCATAAACACAACAAGTTGCTACATTCATTGTTATGGTGGTGGTTTATTATATAGGATATGAGAAAGTTACCATTCTGCCTTGATGGGTTTTTAATTCAACAGATAAACACTTGAAAAAAAAAAGAAAAAACTTTTCACACATCTCTAAGCAGGTCATTATCAAGTGTGAGTAAAAATGACAAGAATTTATGAGCCCAGAGTTTCCCTATTTTATATTTTAGCTTAATGTGATACAACTTAACTTCTCAGACTATATACTACCTTGGACTTGCACATAAAATATGGCTTAAATCCAAGAATTTTATCTGTATAATGTATATAGTCTAATCCTTAAAGCATTTTAAAAATGCATCACTTTGACATGTGTGACGAAAGGATAACAGAAGTAAGCTCTGGATTTTAAAACTGACACACATTCAAAGAGAGAACAGTGGCTCAACGTTAAAACATTATTATCATAAAATGAGAGGAAAAATTATAATTTGTTGAATGAATTCATTTATAAACATTTTTAGAGAAATGAAATTACTGTTAAGAAGAAAGGAAGTGTAAACAATTATTCTATGATTTATATATTATTTATTTGATTAATAGTTTATATCCGTGAAAGTCATTCGATGTCATCAGTTACCAAAAATCACTAGTAGCTCACAGAAAATGAATGTAGCTTAGTCATGAGGCTAGTTTACATGCACAAATATCTGTAAGTTTCACAAATAAGCACTTAGCTTTTCTGCCATTAATGGCTGAAAATCTCCAGATTATAAAGCAATGGATTATATGCTGATTATTTTTCCTCTGAGACAAATTTAGACAAATTATGAAGTTGTATATTGTATCACTGAGTGCTTTCGAAAACTAATACTCAAACAGCTATTTCTTATGTCTCCAAAGATTTAGAAGAGGCATAAAATTCATATAAACATTTTTTCTTTAATAAAATATTTGATTCAGTTCAGTTGCTCAGTCATGTCCGACTCTTTCCGACCCCATGAACCGCAGCACGAACTTCAATGAAAGTCATCCCAATAATTATAAAAAAAAAAAAAGCTCATCAGACTGAAAAATATATTTGACCTCCTGTTCATAGCTATGGGCAGTCTATGGTACTCATGTGAGAAGTGAGTATCAAAGTTTGAAGAAGTGCAGGGCTGTAATATTTGGAAAAGAGGATTGTTGGATGTTAAACTTTATTTTACAATGTTATGTCTTTTCCCAAGCTTTTAGTATGGCTTGTAAAGCCATATTAATTTTCATAGAACCCAAAAGGCAAGATGCATCAAGGTTTATTGATAAAGGAACAAAATTAATTACTAGTCATAGCTTTGTGGAATAAGAAAGAGTAACTGAAGTAGTAAGTGAAATAGAAGTAAGAGATAAAATCAAACAGAGGCATAAAGCTTGTAACCAATGTGATAATATGTGACAAACAGGAGTAGGACTTAACTAATGTCAAAAATTTCCAAGAAATATAAACACATCTCTCTGGACAGCTTCAATACTTAAGCTGATGTTAAAATGAGCTTGTTAATTAATGCACTGTTCTGATTTAGTATCAGTACTTTAGAGTCTATTCTAAGAAAATTATTACATCTTCCTCTCTCTCTCTCTCTCTCTTGTCTTTCACACCTTATATCCACCCCTCCTTCCCCGCTCCCCCCCCACCCCGCCTTTTTTTTGGACACTACCTTCTTCTGGTGTTTGTGTTCGCAATGATTCACTCCAATCACTCCAGCTACCTTTATAAAGATGTAGCTTAGAGGAAATCTGAAATTCATATTCTGTAAAGGGTTTCAGATCCAGCAAGTCATGTCTTCCTTTGGCATTCGTGGCATTAACCTTGAAACCAACAAGATTTTTTTAGTGCCTGTTAATACTAAATTAATTAAAATAAAGGTAAGAAAACCAAACTAGATAACCCTTTTTACTTTTCAAATTTGTCATTCAATGAGAAGAAATATAATGACTGGGTTACTGAATACATATGATGTTAACCTGAAACAATCAGTCTCATTAGAAACACAAAGACAAAAAAATTCATGGATCTAACAACTCATCTATATAGATTCCAAGGGGGATCCAAAAACCAGCTTTGAAACAAGTAAAGACTGAAAACTACTCGTTTTCAAAAAGGCCTTGAAAAAGTTTGTTTCTAACTAGATATTATTTTTTATTTGGCCACAATTAGAATGTAATGAATGTTTTAACACAGACATAAAACTGGCTCCAAACAAGGAAATTATTAAATGGCATGCTGCAGTTCTTGGGGTCGCAAAGAGTCGGACACAACTTAGTGACTGAACAACAACAACAATATATAAAAATTTAATTATTATACCTTTCTATATGTGGAACTAGGGCTTCCCTGGTGTCTCAGATGGTAAAGAATCAGGAAGATTCCCTGGAGAAGGGAATGGCAACCCACTCCAGTATTACTGCCTGGAGAATTCCATGGACCAAGGAGCCTGGTGGGCTACACTCTACAGGGTCACAAAGAGTCAGACATGACTGAGAGACTAATATTTGAATAGGGTAAAATTCGCTCAGTTGTGTCTGACTCTTTGTGACCCCAGGGAATAGTCCATGGAATTCTCCTATGTGGAACCGATGCTTTGTTATTATTATAGGCACTACATTTTACCAAAATACTGGAAAGAATAATAATCCTACATTTTTATTGTAAAAATTTAATGTTCAATAATACATCAAAGTGTAAAGTTTTATCTTGGAATATTCAATTTAGATAAGCCTCTCAACATTCCCTAATATTTCTTTTTCCAATAGGTTAAAAAATTACTAGAACGTGAAACTCCCTGGTGGTGTAATGGCTAAGACTCTGTGCTCCCAATGCAGGGGGCCTGAGTTCCATCCCTGGTCAGGGAACTAGATCCCGCATGTGGAAACTAAAACCCAATGCAGCCAACTAAATATATAAATAATTTAAAAGAAATTACTAAAAAGTAATAATGGAAGTAATAATGGGGTATGGAGTAGAACAACAAGGAAAAGTGAATATTTACTACAAATAAATCATAGAAAATTAGTGTGGATTTACAGAAGCTTATGGCTTAAAAAATTTCAGCACCAATGATCAAATTTTAGGATATTTGTTTTCATTTTTTTCTTTTTTTTTGATGCATGGTTTAGGGGATTTTAGTTTTCCTACCAGGAATCAAACCTGGACCCTTGGCAGTGTCCTAACCACTGGACTGCCAGGGAATTCCCTAAGATACTTCTCAATAAACAGAAGTATACATGATTGACTGATATGTCTCACATGTATATGTGTACTTTTGGGCTAAACATTCTTAAACTCTGTATTTTGCTGGTATGAAAAAAGACATCTGGGCGGTGCTACTAAGAATTTCTCCCTGGTTTCCCCTTCACTCTAGAGACTATTACCATATTCCAGGATCTGCTGTTAATGGGCCGATATCTGAGTCGATTGAGCAGCACCAGCCCCTCATCTCTCCACAGAAGGGTACACCTGTTCACGGAAGCATTTACGAATTTGATTCTGATGTCCCACGGAGGAAGAGGCCTCACTGGCAACCAGGACAAACAAAAGAGTGTGAGTCAGGCTCCATGGCTGGAAATTATAATTACATGAGCTATAAAGAGTTGAACAAGTCTCATTTCTAAAATGCACAGCCACCAACTTGGTGAAACAGATAAGAGTAGCCCCTCGCTTTTAGAAGGAAGAAAAAATTGGATTGACTTCTAAATCATTAAAGTAATTCCCTTTAATCTTCCCTAAAAATCTACCCATTTTTATACAGATAAACTACCATAAACATCACTGATAATTTGGATTTCATTTAATTCAATGATTTAAAGAAAACCAATGTGCCAAACCCAAGAGTTTCAATGGCTGAGAAGGTAGAGGTGTGGCTAGTGGTGATCATATCAGAAGGAGAAAAAAGGTTGGTACGAAAAGCCATAGGAAAGAGACACAGCAACAGAGGAATAAGAGAAGAAGAGGGAAAGAAGGTGGCTAGAGATGAATGGTCAATGTAAAGAGAAGGAAGGCAAAATGGGCAAAATTGTGATAGCAAAATGTATAGTAGACGCTGACGTACATCATTTACTATACTGTACCGTGTGTATGCAATGAGACGCTTTGGGAAGAGAGAAGAGAGACATGTGGTGTGAGGCCAGAACTTCAGGCAGGCCATAAGCTCAGTGTTACCTGGGAATGCCTGGAATTTGCCTCTGATTCAACTGGGCCAATTACATTTGCTCAGAAATGTGCTGGGACTGGCTAACTCCAGCTCCCAAGCTGATAAGAGGGGTAAACATAAGTATTCTCTGAGGAAGATGCATTTGGTACACGGATGCACTTTACTTATAGTTTGCACCTGGCTGCTTCAGCCCTTCAGGCCCACACGCAGCCTTATCTTAGAACAATGGAGTAGCTGTGACCCTGAAAAGACACCTCTACCATGAAAGGCTTACACTAAGCTTCTTGAACAACCTCACATGACCCTCTCCTCACTCAGAAAGTATCACTGGCAGCCTGTGCCTTCAAAGGATCTGAAATCAGCGGGCTCTTATTTTTCCAACACAGAGAATAATGTTGCATATTCCATTTTGTACAACCATGTCTCTATAGCGCTAGAGACCTACATCCTTTGCTTACATCAAAGACACATCTATCCTTTGTCTACGCCTACTGGCCACTCTCCATGAACCACTCTCCCTTTTGAAACCATCACACAAGTGATTCTAAAAATAATGGTCACAGGCCATTTAGATCAGCACCTAAAAAAGTGAAATAATACATACCTATGTCCAACAGTGTGAATGAGGATGGAAATGAAGAAGCACTCCCAAGACTATTGATAGCAGTAACCTTGACTGTGTAACTAGATTCAAGTGATTCAGGGGTTAGGTTGATTTCAAGGTCCAAATGATCACAATAATGGTCATTACATTGCTTTTGCCAAGTTAAATTTTTTGGTCCATTTAACCTGTAAATGAAAGATGCTTGTGTTTAGTGAGACACTTTATGTGCTGTTGCCTCCTTTTAGCACAAAGGAGCAAAACGTTCAAGTATCGAAAATTCTTGATATGTTTTATTAGGGGATATAGCACGGGGATATTTATATTCTGTGGTCATAGGACCACAGCTCACCCCTCTTTTTTTTTTTTGATAGGAATGAAATGCTTTTTGACATTCATATGGGTGAGTAATGATCTCTACACTGCATGCATGTGTGCCCAGTCGCTTCAGTCATCTCCGATTCTTCGTGACTCCACGGACCACAGCCCGCCAGGCTCCTCTGTCCATGAGATTTTCCCAGCATGAATACTGGAGTGGGTTGCCATTTCCTCCTTCAGGGCATCTTCCTGACCCAGGTATCAAACCTGCCTCTCTCCTGCATTGCAGGTGGATTCTTTTTTTTTTTTTTAATAATTTTATTTATTTTTGTTTGTGCTGGGTCCTCATGTCTGCATGCAGACTTTCTCTAGTTGCAGTGAGCAAGGGCTACTCTTTGTTGCAGTATGCAGGCCTCTCATTGCAGTGGCTTCTCTTGTTGCAGAGCACAGGCTCTAGAGTGCGCGGCTTCCATAGCTGTGGCATGTGGGCTCAGTAGTTGCGGATCCTGGACTCTAGAGCACAGACTCAACAGTTGTGGCACATGGGCTTAGTTGCTCTGAGTCATGTGGGATCTTCCTGGACCAGGGATCGAACCTGTGTCTCCTGCACTGGCAGGCAGATTCTGTACCTGCTGAGCCATCAGGGAAGCCTTGAATCCCGAAATCGTGGCTGACTTCTTTGCTCCTTAGGACAGAGTCAATCATCTAGAGGATCCATGGCCACCTTGGCATTTACTTCACAGAAGTGCCAGATCCGAGTACAGATCAGAACCCTAGGCCCCACTTCCTTTCCCCTATCTTCTCCTCACTTAGTCACAGCCCTACCAGCTAGATCTCTGGAAGGGATTACAGAATTAATTCCAAGGGAAAGAATTTCCCAGACTCTCTCTTTTTGTAAACTCTCAGGTCAGATTGTTGCTGTTGTTTAGTCACTAAGTCGTGTTCAACTCTTTGTGACCCCATGGACTGAAGCATGCCAGGCTTTCCTGTCCTTTACTATCTCCCAGAGTCTGCTCAAATTCATGTCAAATGAGTTAGTGATACCATCCAACCATATCATCCTCTGTCACACCCTTCTCTTTCTGTCTCAATCTTTCCCAGCATCAGGGTATTTTCTAGTGAGTTGGCTCTTCACATCAGGTGGCCAAACTATTGGAGTTTCAGCTTCAGAGTCAGTCCTTCCAATGAGTATTCAGGACTGATTTCCTTTAGGATTGACTGGTTTGATCTTGCTGTCCAAGGGACTCTCAAGAGTCTTCTCCAGCACCACAATTCAAAAGCATCAAGTCTTTAGTGCTGGGCCTTCTTTCTGGTCCAACTGTCACATCTGTACATGACGACTGGAAAAGCCATAGCTTTGACAATGTGGACAACAAATGTGGACATTTGTTGGCAAAGTAATGTCTCCACTTTTTCGTATGCTGTATAGGTTGGTCATAGCTTTTCTTCCAAGGAGCAAGTGTCTTTTAAAAGGTGCTTTAAAAAGACAGTCCTCCAGGGCTAATGCAAAGCTACCACAAAAAAGAGTCTATTTATAAATCATGACCCAAGAGTCCGCAGCTGCAAAAGAGAGAAGTTTAACCCTAGAGAGCAGTCAGTTTAACCCTATACAGCAGGGAAGAACATCCATAATGTGGGCCTTGGATGCCCTGAAGAGATCTCTGAGTCAGTCCTCAGGCCTAAGACATAAGTTCTCACACTTTAGGTGAATGAACCAGTTTTACTAGAATTTTTTAAGTATCTAAGTATCTGGAGGTGTTTACTGCTTCTTCTCTTGGTAAAGCTAGAACTGTTAGATACTTCTAAATGTCATCTAAGAGAAGACCTACCAAAAAGCTGCAAATATAGTCTTACTCACTGTAAAGTGTATGCAGTATACAGGTGGGTGTCTCGTCCTCTGTCCCAGGCGCAGGTCACAGTTCCACGTTCTCCCTTCTGTATACAAGATAAGTTTCGAGGCTGTTCTGGAACAACTTTTTTTAAAAAAAGAATAGAACTACCTATTTTAATCAGCACACATGTGATATTTCAATTACATTATTGTTATTTGCCAACAAGATAACAATACTTCCCCTATGTCTCCCATACCCAGATGAGCTGGGAGCTATTTCAAATCCCATCAAGTTCAGATGTAATTCCTAGGCATGAATTTGTTCTAATAACAATTGTAATAATAATGGATATGGATCAAACACTTACTATATTCCAAGTCTATACTAAGTATTTTATGAGTGGTTTTTCTCAATTGGACATTATAGCAGCTGCATCAAGTACATACTATTATTATCTTAATTTTATCAAAGAGGACACTAAGAGATGAAGTATCTTGCCCAACATTACAAAACTATGAAGTGGCGGAATCAGGGCTCCAGCCCAGGAGTGGCTGACTTGAGTTCAAGCCTTTCACCATCATATTCTACTATTTTCCCTGACAAGTGAACATTCAGTGCTAGTTCCAATACCCTGGGTGATGATGAGTTTACATTTTTAGAATGAAGCTCATTCAAATATTAGAAACTTTTAAAAATTAAGTGTTTTCTTTCTCCATTGACCTGAAATTTATTGCCAAGGAACATCTATCCATTGGCCCTAGTCAAGTCCTCCTGGGATGTACCACTTAAATCTAATTTCTGCAGCATCACCTGAAGCACTTAATGAATATTTATAAATTAATTCTTTATGAACACAGAGAATGAAAATCTTCCATGGACCAGGCAGCGTTAGGTGTAGAAATGCAAAAGTGTACAAGGTAGGCATGGCCCCTTCTATCATAAGATGTATATTTTTAAATGAAGCCACTTCATAGTCAAAGACAGAACTTGAACCCCCACTGCTACTCTTATTCGCAGCAGTACATGGTATCATCAACTTCTGTCTATCTAGGGTGGGAGCTTCTGCATTAAACCAGGTCACATCTTGACATTTCTCGCTGCCAGTTATAGGCCAAGCCGGTGATTGCTGGTCCACCTGCTTTCCAGCTTCCAAAACTTTGTTGCTGTGTCTCCCCTCCCATTCTTTTTGTCCTTTAGGGTCTGTGCCTCTAAAAAACTTTCTTTACTGCATCTTGGCTTTATTTCAGGGGGATTGAAAGTAAATACATGTGTACAAACCACCATCATTTCTCCAGTGCTTCACAGGTCTTTTGATGACCAAATAAGATAGTGATAATACACCTGACACTTTCGCATGATGAAAAAGTTAGTCTCACTTTCACCCTTACTCCTAAAAGTTTGCAGAGCATCTCACTTTAAAGACCATAGCTTTTACTCACAAATCAAACCAACTTATTAAATGTGAGTTCCCTGGACCATGAAATCAAAGTGTCTACTTCATGCTGGGACATGGGTTGGGCAGAGACTGTCTGTCCCAGGGTAAACCAGACCTAATTCTCTTCAATATAAATGCATAATAGCTGAAGCTAAGAAAACATCAGAAATCAAAGCCTCTGAAGTAAAAATGGTTTACCATGTAATTATTATTTGTATTATGTAAATATTATTTGCATTATTATGTGTATTATTCTTATTATTATTTTCAAAAGCCCTACTTACTATATGAAATAAAAAGTCTTAAAAAATAATGTTCAGAAATATCAACAGCTAAGCATATATTAAAAACAACTAAGCAAGAATCTACTGTCTTTCATTTATTTCCTTTGTTGTCCAAATAAGTTGTGGCCCAATCCTCTGAGGTTAAGTAGAGCCCTGGTTGTTTAGTTACTGCACAATCTGGATGAGTTCTGGGCACCAGAGCAGCACAAGCCCAGGAGGGGGCCAGAAAGAAGAGACTTCAACGCCACCTACCCATTCCCAATCCTGAAGAACCAGTTACTTTTATGACAGGTCTACTTGGGGTATGCAATGTCACTCTGGACTACCACTTATCACAAAAGAGAAAATGGGCTGCCCAGTCCATCACCAGATAGAATTAAACTTACTGCACCAGGTGAAACCAACATTCATTGTGTCTTTTCTTGGAATGACTAGTTGTACTCAGAAAAAGGTGTTGCTTCCAGTCAGTTCTTTACCTCAAAGGTGCTAAACTTGTTCAAAGAGCAGCCATTTGATGGTGTGGTTACCACCTGAGCACGCTGCACAAGCAGCATTCCAGCATCGCTGCCCAACTGAGCTACACCAGGGCAGACGTGCCTTACCATTAGATCTCTTGATGCTATCAGTTGCCACAGATGCATGCACAACCTCTGGATGGAAAAGGAAACAAGAAAGGGGCTGTGGCACTCTCATGCATCTGAGCAAGGATGGGAAATGGAATGGAATGGCTTAAGGACATCTGCAAAGATACTGACTTCCAAGGCCATCGTTAGCTCCCTAAAAAACCCACCTGCAGCACTGTGAACACTTGGAACTGACATCACAGAGCTGAGAATGTCTGATACCAATAGAGTATGTTGGTCTATAAGATGGTGAATTACCTGGATAAAATATTCAGGTGTTCGAAAGACAAAGGAGGGGAGGACAAATGGTGTTTTTAAAAAAAAATTTCATTTTGCCTATAACCAATACTTTATTTCCTCTCAAGCAAAACATGCTCAGCCATTTAGCATACTGCATACATGAAGAAAAGAGTAAAACCGATGGAACTGCAAACCTAGCGCTCATCATTTAAGTGCCTCCTATGTACCTGGTACTAGATTAAGCACTTTGCATCCAAGGTATCATCTAATCACCACAACCATCTTAGGAGGTAGGTGTTAGTATCTTCATCACACAGATGGAGAAACTGAGGCTGAGAGAACTGAAACTGTCTAAGAGTCCACTGCTAGTGGCTGGGTTGGATTCAAAGCCCATGCTCCTTTTACTACATCACAGGCTGTCAGAACTGAGTGTACATGACCCATCAGAGCTGTGAACAGGAGCCCCTGAGCTGGAAGAGGGGTATGAGACCTAGTTTATGCCTCCACACCCCCCAGTGATTTGCTTAGATATGCTTGGTGTTCTGCTCAATGCTTGTGGTGGCCCTCCAGGAATTACTGCCTGGCACCAACCATGTCCTTATAGATCAGGGACCCTCAGTCTCCAGGATCTAATGCCTGATGCTCTGAGGTGGAGCTGATGCACTGATAATAGAAATAAAAGAGCATAGTAAATGCAACATGCTTGAATCATCCTGAAACCAGCCCCCCTACCATGGTCTGTGGAAAAACTGTCTTCCATGAAACTGGCCCCTGGTGCCAAAAAAGGTTGGGGGCTGCTGTTACAGGTCACAGAGAAAAGGCTTCTGTCTTTCCTGATAAGAGTCGCACTGAGCTCTGTACCACTCTCGTTATGACAGGGACCCTGTCCGTGCATCTTAGCCAGCCAGCCTGCAGCAGCAATTCCTCCTGCTCTCCACACACCTCTCACCTGCCAGTTTGGAGTTTCCCGGGAACCACAGAGGGAACCACAGAGGCACAACGTGCCCTGGGATGGCTCAGGGCCTTTGCGTGCTCACTGGCTTGCAGGGCTGGGCCTTCAAGGCTGCAGACTACAAGTGGCAGGAAGGTATGCTGCTGGCTCACCCTGTGCACTGTGGCTCAGGTTGCAGACGCCAACTATGACATCTTAGTTCTTACCCCTGGCGGCGGCGTGGAGAGACCCATAGTGCAAGCTAGCAGTGCGGGGGAGTTGGTGCTCTGTGGGTGAACTTTGACCTACACCAGACAGTTCTCTCTTTCACCTGTCACTCTCTTGCCATATGTTCTTTCTGGGGATGTCCCTAGTGACCAAGCAACCAGCTTTATCTTCTGGTGATGCCGTGGCCAGGTCAGTAACTTAACCACCTCATGCTTGCTCCACTTTTTTCCTGGTTCACTCCCTCACTCTTGCTTCCCTGGAACCGGACAACTCCTCTCCCACTCTGAAGTCTTAGCACATCAGGTTTGTCTCAGGCAGGTTTCTAGAAAACCCAGGGAAAGATATTAACTATGATGATAGTTCTCTCTTAACATCTGCTCAGTATAATAATCAGTGGTCAGCAGTGAAGTGGATGGAAGAACTATTTTTTTTTTACATTAAGTCAGAGAGGGGAGAAGTGTTCAGCCTTGGTTATCAGCCTGGACTGCACAAGTCAAAAGAGATACCTCTTCTTTTTAGGAGGCTGTGGCTTTGAACAAACTCTTGTAAGTCAAAAAGCATGTAGATTCAGATGCAGAAAGCCCTTTTTCTGATTTTGGAATCCAAGGGCAACAGGTAAATGGTCTTAATGGCCAAAAAGAGGAGAGAAAGAGAGAGAGAGAGGCGAGGGGAAGGATGGAAAGGAGAGGGGAGGGGAGGAAAGGTGAGGAGAGGAGAGGAAAGAGGAGATTTACTAAATGAGATCCCGGTTCTATTGATTTCTGGACTTAACACATTGAGGTGCTCATGTTACTAGGAAGATTAAATATATCCTTGAAGTGGGAGAAGAAAGAACACTGTCCTCTACTTGGATTTCTGCTTAATACATGTCAAATACCAGAAGATCACCAGCCTTTAGGAACTCAGAATGGAATGCTCACCACCGACGGAGATCTCTGCCCCACATATTCGAATCTCGTCACTGCTGCTGCAGGCCAGCTTGCAGACAAACAGGGTTGTGCCCAGGGGAAGACCTGTGACTTGAGAACTGAGGGAGTGACCATGGTCAAAATAAATTCTCCTGTCGAACTTGTAGAGGATTAACTTGCTAGAACTGGAGGATGGCAAGCAGCCTTGTTTGGGCTTCACAGAGCAGGAAATGTTGACAGCGGATCCTAATGAAATGACATGGGAAGGCTGCACAGTCACATCCCCTCTCTTGCACACATCTGCAGTAAGATACAAATGCAAAAGATGAGTCGGCACATAATAAACCTATTTCAGTTGGAGGGTCTGTGTAAATTTCCCAAAACTGGATAAAACAAACCCCATCAAATCATGGAAATACACATAAGCCACGTTGCTCTGGCTCTATTGGTGAAGCACAGTGAGGACAGAAGGCAACTGTCTTAAAGTCTAACTGTACTTGAACTAAAGTATACATCTTTTTCAAAATAGTAATACTATAATCAGAACTATAAATAGGAAAGTGGTGAGAAAATAGGGTTGGAAGAACATTCAGGAACACAGTTCTAGGAAAAGCCAATCTCTCTTACATGCAAATTATTCACCAAACTACTAAAAAGTACTTCCCAGAATAAATCACATTTGCTTCCCTACCCATTTATGATTTATAACACTTACTTAAATACTCATACCAAAATGATTAAAAAGCTATCACAAACACTTAAAAGGCTACTACAAATGTTAAAGAGCACATTTGGGAATAATCCCCTCTTGCTATATTAGGGGTATAAAGTATGTATAATCCATAGCATTATTTTATAATAAAGAGAAAATATTTAGGGGCTCTGGTATGTTTGTAGTTGGAATCAGGGGTGGAAATTAGGTCTTACCATGGTATTCCTCCAAGATGTAAGACCCTAGGTAGGATGAACCACTCTCAATACAGCTAATACTAAAGCACACAAAAGTATCTTTCTTTTAAAAAGAGTTCTCTATATTATTTTCCTTATGCCAGGTCTCACAATAAACTCTTAAAGAGAGGTCATTCTTACTCTCCAGTGGTTCTGTATGTATAAATACAACAGCTAATCGCGAATTAGCAGTTTTTAGTAGTACTCAGTAACTGCTGATGAAGAAAAAACCCTATAGATTCACCCTGAATTTTTAGATATGATATAAAGCCTCCACTGAAAGTCTTTTGTTAATTGTAAAATTGCTTGGATCAACTACCATAAACATTGGTTAAAAGTTACTTAAGTCAAATAAAGGAAATATTAAATATTTATTTTAAATGAAAAGTTTCCATTTTTATTTTCAGCGATAAGTCTCTTCCTCTCTCTTACTTTTATGTTTGTTTTTTGTTTCTTTGATCCTAATGGGTTAAAAAGTACAAAATAAGTTGCCAATAAAAAAAGCAAAGAAAATGACAGCCATTATTTTCTTTTTTTAGCAGAGCTGAATCCATCCATGAATACTCTGTTAAAATTCACTTCTGTTAAAATTCACCACAACATAAAACATCCATTCATGATTCCTAACCTGGTTACCTAGTCGCTTTCTTAAGAACAAAAGATATCACTGGAGTTTCAATCATTAATATAATAAAATAAAATACATATTAGTAACATACTTAGAACCAAACTTATCCACTTAAACTTGACAGATTGCCTGAAAAAGACTATCAGAACATTTACCGCAAATGCATATTTCATCTATAACTGAGAATTTAAACCAAAAATTCTCCACAGATTAGATTACAGAAATATCTTACCTATTTTTGCCTTAACCAACAGCAACATGATGATAAAAATAAGTGCCAGCGAGCACCCGCTAACCGTATGTGCCATGAACAGTCAATTCTGGAATACACCTCTGTATGTTTCCTTGTAAAAGACGACAAATTCATTCATGTTAAATACATTCAGAAAACACCACAATCAAAACAATTCAGAGGGCTTAAAGTGCTCCTTTAATTTTCTCTGTGTTGTTAAGAGACTTTTTAAAAAAAATGATGTTTAAAACCAATAAACTAAAAATCTTAGCCACTTCTAACCCCCATGTCATTTAAGTTTCTTGGGGTCAGCAAAGAGATCTGACGAAGAGATCTGACGTTTGGAGTCCTTTAGAACTGGGTTTAAATACTTTGAGCCTATGGGCAAAAATCTTAAGCCTATGGACTTAAGCTTCTGAGATTCAGTCTCACACAAAGCTTCTTTCCTTCCAAACAAGTCTGTGTCATCATAGTCAAATGAACTAGTGTTAAAATTCCAAGAGTAGTGAGAATTTCTGATTTAGTCATGTGCTCCTGGAAGTAACAGGAGATTAAAACGTGGCTCATAACCCCTACTACCCCACACACCCCAGAACTCAGTAAAAGACTGATTTCCTTGGTAGTAAAAAAAGAATTCCAAGGATTCTAAGGGGGCTGTTTCGGTTTTCCACAAGTTCAATTTTACTTGTTTGCTTGTTTATTCATTACTTATTTATTTTACTGAGTATTTTTATTTTAAATGATTTGGAAAATGCAAGTTGGTGATTTCTGTTTGTTTCCAAAGATAAACCTAAGGAAAGGCTCTAGCAAATTCTCTAAATTTTATCAAAAGTGGGCCAGAAATTCATGAAGCAGGCTGAAAAGCTGTGTGCTGTTGGGCCATTGGCAATGAGCCAATGCAAATGTCCACCTCTTATTCCCATGTTTAGAAATGTGCCAGAATGCCACTGGAAAGCCTCAGAAAAGTTCAGTTATTCATTCAACAGTGATGGTTGCCTTTCATGTGCCAGGCACGGTGTTCAGTGCTAGAAGTATCACAGTCCTGCTCCAGCAGGCTTCCCGGAGAGCATCCCCTAGTTTATTTGACTCCTGTTCTAACTTGGCCATTACTCAGGGAAGCCTCCAAATACTATTAGCATCTTTTCAATAGCATTTTCTGGTGGCTCATCCTTTTCCTCCTGACTTGAAAGTCTCGGAGGACCTCAGCACTCAAGACATTTTTTGTTTTTTTCTCTATTTCTACTCTCTCCTGAGGGGTTTCATCTGGTCTCTTGGCTCTCGACACCATCTGTATGCTAGACTCTCAGATGCTTATCTTCAACTCAGACACTGCAGTGAGTGCCAATCTCCTATGTCTGTCTCCTTGACATCAGTTCTCGGATGTGGCTGCTCCATATTAACATGTTCAAATCGAACTTTGGTCTCCTTTCTCCAAACTGGTTCTTCCTCCAGCCCTTTCTACCTCCGGGGAATAAAATTTTTATCCTGTGAATTGCTAAAACACCTAGCTGTCATCCTTCATTCCACCCTCTCATACCCCACAGCCAAATCACCACTAAGTCCTGTCAATTTTACCTCCCGAATTCATCACAGATCAGTCCTTTCACCGTCCTCACCCCAGTCCAAACCTCAGTTGTCATCTCTCCCCCAGATGACTGCCATAGCTCTTTAATGTGTCTCTCTAGTCCATCCCTGCCCCTTTCTAAGTCATTTTCACATAGCTGGCTACCTTTTAAAAACATAAATTGGATTATGTTCCCTGCTTTGTATCACCTCTACTTAAAACCCATCAGTGGATTCCCCTTGCTGTTAGAAAAAACTCCCAAGTCCTTACCACATATGACTATCTCAGCCACTGGCTGGCTTCACATCGCCTGTCTTGCCTCCATCATTTGCTCTGCTTTTTAACCTTGCTGCTCTGCTTCATTCACATCGGCCTTCAGACTGTTCCTTGAACAAGACGTGTCCCCTGCTGCTCCGGGGACTTTGCACTTCTCATTTCCTCTGCTAGAATCCTCTTCCCCTGGCTCTTAGTGGCTGACTGACTTACATCCTTCAGATCTCAGATCATGTGTCACTTCCTCAAGAGAGCCCCTCCCTGACCACTCAGCCAAAGTGGTCTTGCCCAGTTCCTTTCTATGCATCACTTTATTTACATCATCAAACAATCTCCTGTGTTGATTGTGTATCAGTCATCTACCTTTCTGTTAGAATTTAAGTCACCATGAGAGCTGGAACACTGACTGTCTTGCTCGCTGCTGTATGTGAGCACTTGGCCTTGGAAAAGAAAGGCCTTATAAGCATTGAAAGAAAGAAGGGAAGGAGGGAGGAAGAGGGAAGGAATATGAGTTATAGAAAATCCCCTATAAATATCCCTGTGGGCCCTGCAGCATAGTGGTTCACCAAAGATGTCCATGCAATCCACAGAACCTGTGAATAAGTACATTGTGTTACATGACAAAGGGACTTTGGAGATGTGATTAAAGTTAGGGACCCTGAGGTACGGTAATTACCCTGGATACCCAAGTGAAAATCTGCTTGTCTCTTAGTCATGTCCGACTCTCTGTGACCCTATGGACTGCTGCCCACCAGGATCCTCTGTCCATGGGATTCTCCAGGCAAGAGTACTGGAGTGGGTTGCCATTCCTTTCTCCAGGGGATCTTCCTGACCCAAGGACTGAAGCTGGATCTCCTACACTGCAGGCAGATTCTTTACTATCTGAGCCACCCAAAAGGGCCCAACCTAATAGTGAGTCCTTAAAAGTGGATGAGGGGTCGCCCTTTCCAGGGCCCTTTTGAGGCTGATGCAGTGCCTTAAGAGTCTAACACAGGAGGGTAAAGAAAGTCTCCATAAAACCCAGAGAAGAGATTTTTAGAACTCCTCTCTGGATCCTGTCTGGAGTCACAACTGAACTGGAAGATTTTAAGTCTTAGCACTTACTAGTATGTGTATAGTTAATACCAAAGTCATTAAATTTAAACTTGACCTTTGGTTTGACAATAAAAAAAAAAAGTGGATAAGGGGGGCGAAGAATTGGTCAGAGAGCCGTGATGTGAGGACTGTGGCTTCTGCCTTTGAAGATGGAGGGCCAAAAAACATGGTGGCCTCAGAAATCTAGAGACGAATCTCAGTTTGCAGAAAATATAACATGTATTCTCTGGGTCTCAGTTTAAAATGTCGAGAAACACTGACCTAAATTGAAATCTGACAGTTCAGCTCTCTCTAAATCATAAAGGCCAAGGTCATGGCATTCAGTGGCTTCTGTGACTGGTAATTCCTGTGTTCATCACCAGCTACATCCACCACTACTGACACTACTGCCTAGTAACACTGAGCTGCTCCTGGTTCCCCCACACATCCCATACCACTTCATGCTTCTGTGTCTTTGTTCATGCTATTCTCTTACCTCTCCACTGTTCTTGGACTGCCTAAGTCTTACTCATGTATCCCAACTCAGCTCAGACACTTTTTATTCTGTCATTTACTCATTAAATAAGAACTTAGCAGTTGCCAGGTGCCAAGGACTTGAGCGTGGAGAAAAGACAAGAGTTTCAGCTTGCATGGAGCCAACATTCTGGAGTAGGTAGACGAACAGTAAATAAATAACAGATACATTCAGATAATGACAAAAGATTAAGAGAGGCTAAGGGGAGAGAGTCCCTGGGAAGCAGAGAAGCTGGACAATGAAGGCGTTTCTAGGAGGTGAAACTTGAGCTGTGATTGGCACAGGCCAGCTGAAGGCTCAGAAAGACTTTTCCTGGCAGAATAAATATTGAGTGCAAAACCTGAAGACAGAGGAACAGGCTTGTTATGGTTGAGGCACAGAAATAAGGTCAGAGTAGCTGGGGAAAGTAACTGTGTACAGAGTCATATGAAGTGAAATTGTAGAAGAAGGCAGGAGCCAGATCTGCCATGGATTTGTTTGCCATGGAAAGGAGCCTGGATTTTACTCTCCAATCAATGGGAAACCACTATGTATAATTAGCGGTTTTATTTATTTATTTAACTGGGTTTTAGTTAGGGTGAAACAAGATATGAATTATATAAAACATACACACAAATACAAAAGCAAACAGAAAAACTAGTCTTGGCTCCATGTATGGAGGCTGGAGTAGAAGCAAGCAGACCAGTTAGGAAGCAACTGGGAACACCCAGGTAGGCAATACTGGTGATGTGGACCACAGGGATAGCAGCAGAGATGGAAAGAAGTAGCCAGATCTTACAAGACTTACTGATGCCTTTTGGCCAGACTGTATCTTGTATCCTACTTGTATCTTCATAGCATTCTGGCATCCTCCTATCACAGCACCTGCCATAGTAAGTAAAACTAATTTCTTTAGGTATCTGCTTGTCTCTTCCATTATCTTGCAAGCTCCTCATGGGCAGAAGCCACAATTTCTATGTCTTCATAGAAGACATGTGCTTGCGAATTCCCTGGTGGTCCAGTGGTTAAGACTCTGTGCTTCCAATGCAAGGGGCACAAGTTTGATCCCTGGTGGAGGAACTAAGATTCATGTCACATAGCCAAAAAATAAAAATAAGTATTTAGGACCAACACTGTCCACATCCAGATGATGATGTTTAAAAATAAAAGACACATGCTGAACTGAATGAAACTTAAATGGTTTTTCTGCTTCTTACGTCTAGTTAGTTTAAAATAACTACAATACATTAAAACTAGATTAAATCTCATTTTGCTACCTTTTGGTGTAGCTATCTTAGTTCAGTTTAAAATTAGCTTGTTTTCATTAAACTTTGGAATATTCTGGCATAAAGGAAATAACGGATTGAACTAGAAGATAACTGAATGAACAGATATATAGGGATTAAAGGTTTCTGCTTCCTAACTGCAAAGGGTGTCCACAGGGTATTATTTTTCAATGTGCATTGCAACTTATGAAGTTATAACATTTTACGAATAGTAAAATATTAGTTGGTTATAATAAGAATTTTTTAAATGTACATATGTATATGAAATATGTATGTACACCTACATATGAAATAGGCAAAATAGAGGATTTGAGTTTACATAGTACACTGATCCAAACACAAACAGGCTTATTTTCTCTGAATGA